CACACACACACACACACACAAAGACTATAAAAGACATCCACCATGATATACGCCATGTAACCGCCCCCATGAAAATTGCTAATCCTAATTTAATCTTTTCCCATAGTGATTATAACTCAACTGGTGGTGTGCAGGCATTACCTCTGTCCTCCATGAACTTGTAAAGCTGCTGTAGAAAGTGGTCTCTTTCTTCTGGATCTGGCTCATCATCAGGCTGTTTAAGAGAAAGAAAGTACAACATATGAATTTGAAGTTCAGCAAGTGTGGAATTATCCATTATAGATAATAATATTGGACGTGACTGAAATCGAGTGAGTCAGATTAGTTTATTAACCACTCCTACTGATTCATAAGTGTTTTTGATTTATCAAAAAAAGAACCAGCTCATAAAAGTCATTAATTTCTGTACTGTTTGTCGTTGCATACAAGCATACATAAAACAGCTGTGATGGAAACAATTACATTTTAAAGCATTTTAGTACAGGCATTTTACAGAAAGAATACACAATCAAGAACTATAATTTATCAAGCGACCATATTAAATATAAAGACAACAAATGGAATCTTACATTCACAATACAGCAAACATCAGGATTTACACAGCAATAATGTTTAAACTATTGAATGCACTAATTTTCAAACCAGTCAAATTACACAGGGCTTCCTTAAGACATTAGTTGGCAACCCACCAACTAGTCGATTTTTAAAAATGTGTAGTTTCACACATCCAAAGTTTAAACAGAATCCTAGTGCTGTCTTTCTCAATACAAAATTCAATAATAAGAAAAGCAACCCATCATTTCCAACAAACCTTTCCACTTATCTTTTCACGTGCTTGCCTTATAATTGTGCAACATGCCCGACCTTCTCCAGCTAGGAGAGAAGACTCTTTGAGATAAGCTCAGCCACACCCACCATCAGAACTGGCACACCTCCACTGGGCCAATCCCACAGCCTTTTCACAACCAAAGGAACGAGCAGTTGCCATGGGAACGTGTCGGAAAACCAAGCAAATGGCCATTTGTCCAAACTCGGGGAGCAGGAAGAATGAGACGTTGTTGTTCAGAGCCTGGGGGCTTTCCCACATGCTGAGACCATTCAGTGGACTTAATCAAGGTGTACGAGTGCATAAGATGTAAAGGGCCGCGGGAATGTCTTCACAAATCAACATTAATGCCAACATTGGGATTCTCTCAATCGATACTGGTCATAAATGGCCTCATATTACTTCAGTGCGCAGCTCTGGCAACCCATTTAATCAGAACAATCACTACATGCCAATCACTAAACCCAAGAAACAAGGGTTCAAGCAAGAGCATAAACGGAAAAGAGGAGGAAAAAATAACCAGTTCACAAGTTTGAAAGACAAGGCTGCAATTTTCCAACACCACTGAATACATCAGCAGCACACCAAAATCTTTTCATCATTTGACAAATAATTTTAACTTTTGAAAGAAAACTCATTTCAAGATAAAGAAATGGAAATGACAAAGTAATACTGGAGTCTTACTTCCTCTGGTTCTGGCTCCTTCTCCTCCTCTTCACCCTTTTTGCCTTCACCATTCTCATCATCATCTTCATCACTGCTAGAGGATTCAAGAATCTCACTCAAGTTTACTTTCCAGTTGTCAGGGACCTGTCTGGCCTGTAGAAAGTGATGTGCTGCTTCAAACCCTGGCAAAAAAAGAACAAGAAAGAGAGCATAAGAAACCATACTCTAACCTGGAAACATTCAAGTCAATAAAGGGTCAGCTGAACTTGGGTCTCAAACCTTTCCTGTTAGAGCACTCAGGTTTGGAGAGGGTGCCAATGTTTACTTCCTGAACATCTTTGCGTGCCACTGTGTGACTGCAGAACACAAACAGTGAGAAATCAGAGATAGAACAAAAATATGAAAATATTTCCATTTCTTCTTATTAAACAAAAAATGTATATCACTTTAGAAGCAAAATATTAACTTTCAAAATCCTGTAAAATGGCTTAAGCAAAGCTAACAGACATGGAATAAAGGTAACAAACATAATTTTGACTTCATGGGGTCTTAAATGTCAAAGATACTTTTCAATGTTACTCACAATTTGGAATCGGCAAATGATCGTACTAAACATTGGTCCTTTTTGACAGTTATGTCATCATTACAGCTTGGAGAGATCACCTTCAAAGAGGAAGAAAATATTAAAACGCTTTCAAAAAAAAAAAAAATTTTAAAAAGCGGTAAAAACATCAAGTCTTTACCAATATAGGAGTACCATAATCAATTAATTCATTATTAGAACTGAAAGGCTTGACTCTTCATTGACACGCATTCAATTTGAAAGATCTATTCTGTTTGCAAAATCTTTTTCAATTCAATCCATAACCTTTGCAACTACCAAAGCAAAAAAATGCATTAAATACTATCCAACAGCAACAATACAACATCTCCTGAGTGGCTCTGTCTATATTCTTTAAAAATATTCTCACGTCACCTCATGTTCCAAACCCGTACGTGCAGTTTTTTGTGGAACATTTTTTTACAGAGCCTAATCTTTTCCATACAACAGTTTCAGACACTTTAACATCAGTGTAATATCAGTGAACAACTATAAGTCTGTTCCCCAATGTATAATGACCATTTTCAGAAATCTAGTTACTCCATGCATAACAGTCTCTCTAGCTTGTTTTAAAATCCTATACTTAAGATGTTGTAATTGAATCAAGGACTCACCAGGACATAGTGCCAGGAATCACTATCTGAGCCACTCTGAATGGAGGCAACTTTCCCCAAAAGATCATCATTAAGCCTCCTCCTGTCATCGTTATCGTCTTCACTCGATGAAGACTCCTTTTCATCTTCTGCACTGCATCAAACAGAGGACTAACATTTGAAACATGCTCCCTTTTCACATTAAAACACGGATCAGAAAAGCTAAACTGCATTTTTATATTTAGGAAAATGAATCATGGAAAATGAACAATAATGTTGCCAAAATAATGCTTGTTCCAGCTCAGGATCCAACTGGGAATCAGGATATTGTGCTCTTTAACTCAAAGCATGTTATTTGTTATTTATAAGGACCTAAGTGTAACAGTTTGAGAGCATAACAACAAAACTGAAGCGTACTATAAGAAGCTCGGTATGAACTGTGCTATTGCACTTATACATCAGAGGTCATTCACATATAGAAATCTTAAGGGTACATTAGCAACGGCCTGTTTAAATATAATGGACAAAGGGCTCCAGACTGCGACCATTTTTTCTGCCTGTGCGAATAAATTTTGTGAGCGGTCGCAGTGGCGAGACCACCGTGTTGTTCAACTCATAAGCATTTCTGTTGCATATGAGAAACATCAAACGGCAAAGAAACCGAAAGCATAATGAAACCGCACTACTCATTTGAACTGCGCAGCGCTTCGAGAGTAGAGCCTGGTTTATAATCGCCGCGTCAGCAGGAGCGCGAAGCTGCGCGCAGCTAAAAATGACGCGAATATTGAGAAAACGATGGATGGTTTTCAAGCTAAAGACCGCTTCTTAAACCAAAGAAGAACATGTTGGTATTCTTGTGGGGGAAAAAAAATTAATAAAAAGCACTGTCACCGACAGCAAGTTTAGTTTTACTTTTATTTTCATTTTGAAAAGCTTATCTTTGCGGTTTACCTCACGTTATGCTATGAAGGCTCTCTTTAATTAATTTTTTTATTTGATTCCTCAGTGTTTGCTAAACATTCTGTAATTTATTAGTCGGTATATAATACAGCATGTGGTGTATGCCATGCCTCATCTTATTTTTGTTAATAAACGTTTTGTAAGCTAGTTTGTCATTGTATCTTATGGTTTATCATGCCTCTTTTTATTATAAATGTTTTGTAAGCTAGTTTGTCATTTTATCTTATAGTTTTATGGTTGTTGTGCTTTTTAATTAAGAATAACAATGAATCCATCTTTTGTTTTAGTCTTAAAAAGTGAAATATGTATAGATGTTTGTAAGCAAATCAGACAATTATCTTTTCTTGCAAAACGTGACAAGATCGCGAATTCAAAAGTGAAAGAATCCGAAGAACGGCTTATAACATAGCA